CCCCCCCCCAATCCCGCTTCATTCCTCGTTGAGTCACCGAACGACAAATATTTGTCAAGACAGGACAATTACTTAAGGCGGTCACAGGATGATTCCTTGTAAATTTACTTTGTTCCTATTGTGAATACTTGGTAACCAACACCCCAAATTTGCCAAGGTAAACCGATTTCTATTACCCTTATACCAGGGGTTTACGTATTTAGGGGTCTTAAGCGAATTGTTCTTAATGCTTAAACGGTATCGGTATACGAAATTCCCGTATTACTGATTCCATAAACAAGACAATGTTCGACAGTCCTCAGTCACCCCTCACCCTGCGCCCCGACATTTCAAAGGATAGCACTGCGAGAAAGTATCAGTTATTTCGAAAAATCGGTGCAGCACGTTACAAGCTCGGAGAATCGAGTGAATGCCAAAATTTTGCGTGGTTCGAAATCCCTTCGCGTAATCCTATCGCGCGGTACGCTCGAATCGTTTATGAATTATTGAAAAGCCCTTTGCGAGTATTACCCGAGCGTTAACGTTTGTTGCGATTATTAACGTGAACTTTGATCGAGGTGACAATTACACGAAATCTCTATAACGTCGAGCGCGAGGGGTACGTATCGCGAGTGAGCTAGCGGTTACCAGTTTTCCCACCAATATTTCAAACTTGGTACGAAAATTGATTAATCCACCGATTCCCTGGAACGAACGTGGGCGGGGCTGGTTTCATATTTTCCTACCACTTTTTGTCTTCTTGTTTTATTGTTCGGTCGATACGCTTGTGCTTGTTCTCGTCTTTTTAATCCGCGCTTCAGGATCGGATACCTGGTACCATATACGCAAGCAATATACTCGTATATATATATACACATATACATATATATATATACATATATATGTTCCCCTTTGAAATATGTATTTTCTGAAGCGCGAATAATCGTTGACGAATATTTTTGATAAATGTCTCACCAATATGCGTGCTGGTCCTTCATCAAGGGAGTAATTCAGCGAGATAAGCTATCACGTGCGAAGGTCCATCCGCAGGATTCCGTAAAGATGACGTGTGACGGGATGCAGGTGCAAGGAATGCATCAGGAATACAACAGGTAAAGTATCGATTGCTCTAGCACTAGATTTTTCTATGGACACGGGGTATATGGTGGCTTTATATAAAGATATAGAAATTCAAAAAAGAGAGATGGAAGGAAAAAAAAAGAAATGGATACTATGGATATATATATATATTTTTTTTTCGTAAAACTATATCTAGCCGCCATAACACTATGACATTTTCATGGTCATGGGGCTTTACATCGTTCTCCACTTCTATACGGTCATACGTTTGATATATTTTTCAGAAGAGACGTGGGACTCCTTCATCCCGATTGGCGAAAGTTTCCTCACGTACAGCTTTACGGATGGACCGCGCACCACGAACATCAATGGAAATATCTGCACAATATGGTGAGATAAACCGAATCTACTTTCATTAAAATAATAATAGCCGATCCATCTGCCCTTGGTAGATACACAATATAAAGTGAAGGGCAATCCTCCCCGGTTCATTCAGCGCAAAACCAAAAGAGCACGTGAACTACGTATACCTAAAAGGTATACCTACATAAAAATCCCCTTGAACAGACGTGATTTTTATCCCCCACTATACGACATCCGCCTTACGGAAAAAGTAATAATAAGAAATCAAAGAGAATAGAAAACATAATTTATACATGACAATATACATAATATAGCCGAAACTCGCGAGCATCAGTGTCTGTACTAAAACGAGTAAGTGGCAAGGTAACGTTAATTAACGATTAAGACTCAGCGTCAACGCAACATTTCTGCAGTAGGATTTACTCGCAAATGAAGTGTACGAAGGCGATAGGCAAGAGCCGCAGGCATAAGAAGCTTAGTCCATGTAGCCTTTCATCTTGGTCGATCTGAAAAAGCACCTGGTCGCAGAATCGTACCTATTGTAGATCCTTGTAACGTTTCGTTTTTAATAGCTTCCATTGGCTGAAAGGTGAGACGACGACTCTAACGAGTACGAGCACGAAGCACATGAGATGAGATCGTGGTAGAGTACTTACGCCGGTAGTACCTCCACCCCGTCAAGGAGAGAGAGAGAGAGAGAGACAGAGAGAGAGAGAGGAGACGGATGATAGGGCTACAGTGTGTAGCAGGGTATGATGACGCAAGGGTGATTTTCATTGGTGTGCTAGAGGAAGGCGAGCGTAAAGTTTACAACTGGTGGCGGCTTTAAAGTTAGCTGATATGAAACCATCCCCGATAGAAGGTCGGAGAGCTCTGGAGACCTACGAGGTTGTACCCACCCCTCGACCTAAGAGCCATCCAAGACCGACTTCGTTCCCAGACAGGATATGAGTCCACGAAAGGAAGACGAAACATCCTTGCAGGATAGTCGGCCATTGGGTACAAATCATACAACCTCCTTGGGATGCACAGAGAAGGCAGATAGAAATGCAAGAGAACGTCCTAAGGTATAGGAAATGGTCCAAGGATGCTATGGGGGTGGATATGGGGTGACTGGATAGTTAGTACCGATGGAGGGGATGTCATGAGCAAAATGGATCGGGAAAGAACAAGAGTGGAATTGCTGAGCAAACATGGGGAAGATAGACGCGGGAGAGAGAGGGCTAACTCGACCAGGTTCGCCAAGAGACCGAAAGAAGGATCGAGAGAGAACGTGGATATAAAGGACGAGAAGAGATGCGACAAAGAGAACCAGAAGAAGGATCACACGATCCGTGCTAAGAGCCTTCGAAGGAAGAGACACCGTGTACCTTTTCTTCCGTTTTCTTTTCTCTTTTTTTTTTTCGTTCTCCTTGCTGAAACCATTCTTGGCCGGTTTCCAAGCCTCTCTCGAAACGCCTGAGCTCTACGAGCGTTTAGGAAATTCCGTCGAGGTATAACGGCGCAAATTATTCCACCTTTTTCAATGTCTTTCGCGAGAGTGGGATAACGACTCTACTATTATATGATCTAGGGTAAGAAAATCTCGGCGGTTTTACAAAGAGCCGCTATACCTACTGCTATTGGGTTTGGCATTAGAGAGTCTTCTGAGGATGTAGCAGAAATCAAGCGATATGAAATCTAAAAGACCTTTCGGAGGCTTATGCCAGCCAAAGGAAGACGGTATGAAGATCTTAAGTGTCTGCTGCTCCAGAGTGAATTAAGGTAGAAAGTTAGTTACCCCCAAGACTGACGTCGAAAATTCGAACCTCTCCATTGTGTCCATGAAACTTGCATATAGTCGTATAAGAGGATTTCGTTTGTTCGCGATAGCTCGACCTGGGGAGAGAGGGAGAGAAAGTGAAGAACGAAGAGGCAAAGTGAGTAAAGAAAAGAGAGGCAAAAGGGAAGCGGGATGACGGCGCGATGCTGGCCACGCTAATTATTAGGCGGGCAAAGTTTCCCGGACGAAAGTCTACCACCCCGATCCTGCTATAGAGAATCTTGCCATGGGAGTTGCCAATGAAGTATTAAAGGATAGGTAGAGGAGTTTTCGACGTGGAAGCGCCAAGTTTCAATGGTTCTGTCTCAACAAACGACGACGGTTTTCAGATTTTATAAAAAATCCGTAGAAACGTCGTAAAGTTACCCCGTCAAATATCAGGTGATGGCAATTTTCGTGTGATATACTTTTTTCACCGTCGGACTACTACGCTTTCACCGTCGGACATACTTATGAAATTCAAGATCAAAAAGTATAAAAATTGTAAACCAACGAACCCTGGGATGTTAGTGGAGATCTAAAAGGAAATACGTTCAATGTCATTTGCGCACGTATGGCTTTTCGTTTCGATAACTCTTTGAAATGCTGCACTTTCTCAGCACTATAAATTCAAAGGACAATGTACTGAAAAAAAACTTGATAACGCGAAGACTGCAAATGAAATTCTTATAAATTTTGAAAGCGTCAATGATTACAGGTAATCTTAAAATACAAATAGACGTACTAAACTTACGAATACACTACTCGTATTTACATTATACTTTGTTCTATACTTTTGCATCGACTTTCTATTAATTCCAATCATACGCATAGGTATATCCTAATTCTACTCCAATCAATCTGCCGAATTTCTTCAATCTTACGCGTAACGCAGTATAATCGCACCGATAATGAAAAGCTTTTTCTAAACACGTAATTGCACAATATGTCAATTTTATATCAGCCTTATCATGCACCGATGAACGTAAGCCGATTTTATAGTCTGGGAGTAATAGGACATACGGAAAGTTTTTTTCCGTGTATAACGTATCAATAGCAATATCCTTACCATGGGGTAATATTTCAGGTAACAGACGTGTTAAAAATGCACGCTCCAACGTCGTTTCATATAATTTTCCTGACCTCGAAAAATTCTTAGCTTCCTGCAGTAATAGATATATTCAATGATTTATAGCATTCAAAAATATAAAAAATGGCGACTCGTTATCCACTTCTATCGAAACTTACCTTTACTCCCGTTCCTTTCATAGCCTCGGTAAGACCAGGCAATTCGCAGGCGACAGACTCTCTTGTGATTGCAGATCGTTAAAGGCGCCTTGGAATCGGCTTACTACGCCACGGAGACGCAGTACAAGGCAGCCTCTTTGAGCAACCAGTACACCGTCCTCTCGAGACCGATTGTCAGCAACGTAAAGGAGGTGATCGAGTTGCTAAGGCGGAATCAACAGTTCGGCAATTATTCGCACAGTCTTGCGGAATCTGCAGAATACGACGCCGACGACGAATCTGGTAATAGGATAATCTTAGGAGTTTACCACTTCTATAGAAAATAAGGATCGCTCCTGGAGTGTTTTTCTCAGTGAGAGCAGCAGCACCGAGCGAGGATCAAAAGTCACTTCAAAGTATGCCAATGGCTTACGGGTTGGGGTTTCGCTGCCGCGGGCTTTCAGCGTTTTCTTCTCCCTTCTGTCGTCCCTCTACTGCGCCTTTCTTTTTTATCCCTTGACATTAAGAAAAGAAACAACAAAAATAGGAAAAGGAACAACACGGCAATAACAAGAAATTCAATAATCCCAATTCGCATTCTCCAGTCGTATGTTTGTACTTACCTACATATAGGACACGTTAGACCTTTTTTTTTCTTTTTCACTCTAATGCTTGGAAAGTCCCTGGAGAAGCGGGGAACTTTGAGGTCCGTGCGAAAAGCGAAATGTCAAGCGGATACAGGCAAATGGAAAATGATGAAGTAATCCTGATAAAAATATACTATCTTGCATGATCAAGAGACGCGGTAGCGTCTCGATCGACGCCAAGTTGGCGCTTTTTCGTCTGCTACGATGAAATATTGTAACTTGAATTATCTGCGGGTATATGTCGTGGGCGAAAAATGTGTCAGGTCGAATATTTTTTCTTTTTTTTTTTTCTTTACAATGAGCCTTTGCCCAATAAAATCGGTTCCCGCAATGCTGATATCTGGCATCTTAGCAATATCAGTCGAAAAATGTTTTTCTCAATTTGTCTGCTCTCACACAATCTTAAAAAATTTGTCCCCTCGCATATACGTATGAGGTTCGACGCGACACAGGCATAACGAGTCGAGACGCGCATGCGCAACGAGCCAGTGAACACGTGTAGTCTTCTGTTTATATGGCCTCAGCTGTTGGCTACTATCTTATTATGAGTTCGTCTCATATTTCGCGCTTGTCGTTCGCATATCGTTTCTGCGGACTGTGCATGTTATAATAGTGGATATAATTGATGTCCGTGTTAATGATTTGTAATAAAACATAAATATATTTTTTTTTATAAATACATCGCTTTTCCTAACCTGTCTCTTCGTGAAAAAATTCAGTCTATTGGAGCTAGTCGCTGGCACACCAAGTTTTTTGTAGAGAAACATGTACGTCTATTAAGCATCTACCTAGGAGATTGTAATGTACAGGAAAGGTCTTAAGAAACCTGCGAACAAATCAGCTCCCTTGACCACAACCAAAAGCCTTTATTTCCGCCGATTTATCATTGACGGAGACCGTGTGTGCTTGAGCCTCGAATTCAACGACTGACTCGTTCGCACGCTCTTACATTTGTCGTGCCCTCTCGCCGGGCCGTGCCTCACACATACCAGTACACAACAGGATTTTTGCTTGGCTAATTTATTGGATTTGATTTAATATTTTTGCTTGGTATTTTTTTAGCAAGGATTTATTTTTTATGAAATGGCTACACTTTTAATACTTGGCGTAACCGTTTTGTTTTGAAAAAACATTTTTGGTGTTATAGTAATCACTTCGAAGTGTACAATATGTATATACATATATGTATACTTTACTTGTTAAGGTACTCGCATCGTATTGCGTCATAAATAAAACACGTTCATGTCTGGATGCATTTCGCGGATTATACAAAACTTTCATCTCCGTTTTACTGAAACATTCCGAGTGCATATCGATCGTCCTTAATTGCCAAGTAGAAAGGCATTCTGAAATACGTCAGGAACGTATGACTTGAACGTATCAAAATTACTGAATTAAATTTTATCCGTCTTGGAAACGGTAACTCAAATTTTTTTATTTTTCAATATTTCACTCATCTCCGTTTTTTCTTTCAATTATCTAGACAAGCATATCACTGTCAGAATGGTCACGTGTAGTGATAGGTTGAAATGTAAAATTCAAGGAAAGTATACTCGTTCAATGAGATTTATGTTTTTTTTACCTTTTTTTCAGATGATAAACCCAGACTACGATGCCGCGAGAAAAAATATCGCTGGTTAGAAACGGCAGTGTAACTTTTATACATATACAAGAAATGTATACATTAAATCTCATGTAAAGAATGAGTAACGTAATGCATAAGGGTTATCGGCTTAAGGGGAGCATACTATTTAGAATTTTCGAAAAATCGATTTTTTTGTTTTCATATTTCGAAAGTATAATATATTAAGAATGCAATAGAAAAAGGACAAATCGAAATATTAAATATTTATGGAGTTATTGCACATAATCGAGAGCGCCGCGGTCCGCATACCGTAAACTAGCGAATCTGGTAGCCGGAGCGCTTGGGGTGGAGCAACGGTTCTTTCACAATATCTTTGTATAATTCTTTGAAGATCGTACTCCATTACTTGGCAACGAGATTAAACAGCATCCCCTACTAATTTATGAAGATTTATCTAGGGATGATTTACTGGAAAGATGCTTGGGTGGCCATACCCAGAATGCCAATGAAAGTTTCAACGCGACAGTTTGACGATTATCCCCAAAGCACCTGCATTCTGGGTTAAAAATCATTGAAATATCAGCCTATATTGCTGCTGGGATATTTAATGAAGGCTACACCTCCATTCTTAGAATTATGAACAATTTAGATATAATTGTTGGCACCTATTTGAAAGTTTTCGTCGAAAACATCGATGAGGCGCGAGTAGCGAGGCAGAACAAGATGAGCCTTTCTGAAACTAAAGCAGCTCATATAGTCAGAAGACAACAACAAATGTAAGAGAATCAGATTTTCGAAAAGGCTGAAGGATTATTAAATGCGTCTGGAATTGCTGATTGATCGATAAGTCACTAAAACTAATAGCTTTATCGTACTGAAACTTTAAACGCGATTATCTCGAAACTACATTTTCAAAAACTGCTCATGTTGTAACTGAAAAAGTTATTGGCCGATCTGGCTGAATTTTTGGGAGGTGATTCTCTATAATATTATCGGAAGGACAAACATAAAGTTTTAAAGATATCGCGTAAATAAAATATTTTTGTGGGGTAAAAACTGTCGAAGAAATGGTCGAAAATTCGAACATTTTTTTTCAACAGCCTACCAAAATTTTAATTTTATACTTTTTCATTGTTTTTTAGGTCAGTCCTTTCCCTTTACATGACAGTAATCGAAAAATAATTGTTTTTTTGGTTTCAGATCACTACAAAGAACATGAAAACTGCAGCACTTCTCGGTATCATGCAAAACACGCCTGGCCAAATAAGACACAGAACCGCCATTTTTTTTCATAACAAAAAAAAAATTTCTATGCTTTAAAGATGAAATAAAATGATACCACAATTTCAAAATAATGCAATTATTTTATCACCTTCAAAAAATTCATGAAAAATGCCTCATTTTCGGCCGTTTAAATAGTATGCTCCCCTTAAAGAATGAATTAGTATAGGTATAATTAGTATATTAAAAAAGAAATAGATCTCAAATAAAATAGTTCAAAGGGACAATCCAGTCAAGATATTCCAGCGTGAAAAATGTTTGTCAAGACCCTAAGATCGGCAATGTAAAAAACAAATATACGCATGTTATCACTGTTTATCGCAAATATTGATCGAGCATGATAACAAGTAAGATTAAAAATACGTAACGCTTTATAGGAACTTATTAATATAAAGATATCTAATCAAGCAAAGTCTTTCCTTTGTGATTGAAGCGCTGCTCTTCCGTTCTTCCTCTACCCCTCTCTCACCGCCCTACCATCCACTTCCTCCATTCAAGACATTCGTATTGATATTTGCCTTCTTTTATTGCGCATTCTTTCAAGGAGTAACCTTTCCCATTTTCTCATAACGAAAGTGACGCAGACCAATATCGTGTTACTAATTGGGTAGAAAACGACAAAATGTACTCTTAATGAATTTCCTTGGACTCCTCGAGTTCATTAAGGAGCTCAGAGTATTACATTTTCGCGAAAGGTTGTATAGGATGTATAAATGAAAAAAAAATATATATATAAATCACAAACAAATTTGAAGTCGCGAAAAACACACGTCTCTCTGGTACAAAATATTTAATGAAATATGAATGTTTTTTTTTAGGTGGAGTACCTTTTAATAATGTCATTTATTTCGAAAAATGCTAATAACAATTCCCGTGCGATTTTGCAAAGGAAAAAGCGCACAGGGTTATCGAATTCACGTATGTATCTATACCTTGTCATATCATTGGCATGCGGATAACACACGAGTCACATATTGTCAGTGACATTTACCAATCGTCGAATATCATCTGCCTCATTGAAATTCCTCCACGTATGACAGAAGATGAGACAAGAATATCGCATTTGTCTCCGTGACTATTCGCCTCTCGGTTGATCAAATTCTTTCAATTTGCTTCCTCTTTTTATGTTCTTCGTCCCACTTCTTTTTTTCAGCCAGAAGTCAGACGGAAAGTGAATATTCACTTTGCTTATTAAATAGGAAACTCACAGCGATGAAAAGAGCCGCTCGTCGACGTTATAGGATGAAAAGTTACGGTTCGAATTGCGTGCCGAACAAAAGTAGCCGAGCAAGACGGCGCGTTACAACTTTCTTACAGTAAAGGAATGAAGAAGGAACTCATGAGGAAGAGAGATAAATTTTCAATAAAGAAGAAAATCTGTCGCCTGCCCTTATACATAGCACTGACGGTTTATGCTCGTTAATTATAATTGATCGAGATTTTCGAGTTACAGGTAAAATGATAATCCATGCCAACGTCACAATAATTTAGAATCGAGGATTTCATCAGCCAGGCAAAAATGCATGACGTGTTCGATAATTGAAATAAATTGGATTAATCGAATTATTTCCCACCTGTATACGTGACGTTATAGTATTTTTAAAAATACAGTCTACTAACATTAATTAATACTCAATCTTGCTCGAAATCTACTGACAACGATGACAAATACAGTTTTGATATACATGAACTCGATGCATTCTAGTGAACTTTGGAAACTTTTGATCCACATGAATTTTCGTATCACCTCTTATCATCCAAAAGTAGAAGAGACACGTCTAATACCGGTCAGATCGTTCACGGCATACCTAAGAGTATAATATTAAAGCTGCTGAAATCCTTTTACTGCTGTCAATAATGATACAAATTGTGCCTGTTGTACGTTATACTTTTTCTCAGCCAAAAATTGCATGCGTCTGAAGTATTTGATTATTTTCGATGTAAGTAATCGCCGTAATTTATTTACATAACAGTTTACACATAATTAATGTTACGCAATGCATATTTGATAATAATTATTAATAACTAATATATATTATTAGTAACTATTAATAACTAACTCTACGTGCGCGGAAAGTTCGCCACATAAAATATGCTCTATATGTATATTATATTATTACACGCAAAGTGATTGGTATTATCAGCCAGTATTAATGCCGGTCATTGCAGCTCTTTTTACTCACATGAAAATTGATTTTTCTGGAAAACACGCGTATTCTCTCAGGTATTAATATTTTCCCTCAGGTGGCCGACAATAGCCTGATCTACCCTAGTACCGAGATGTGTAAGACTCGCCCCTCTCGGAAAGAGGATTCGGATGCTCGATTTCCACCCTCTGTTCACTTTACTCAATTTCGATTCCCATTCCGCCACATTCTCCTAGTCCCCGAACTATTATTCCTACCTCTCATAATTTTCCCGACGGTCGCTTCTTTTTACTTGGGAGGAAGTACCCGCGAGCAATTGAAACTCGTGGCCATTTACTGCATTTCAATAATAGCTTCCCCATTCCTTGTAAGCGCAACACGAGAGCGCGAACCGCCGTCGATTTACTATGAGCTTTATGGAACATGCCGTACTGAAAGAGGTATGGCCGTTTAACCATGCCAGGTACGGCAGCTATATTATTGCCTGTTGCTGGTTCAGTTTATACTTCCTAGAAAGGTCATTTGCGTTAAAGCGAAGAGTAAGGCGTAATTCGGCATTCTAACGAAAAAGTTCATAGCCGGTACAAGTGTGTCGTTAAAGATCTTAGTCAGAGTCTCTGAAAATTCACCGAACCAATTCCAGGGTAAATGAGCTCGTGGCAAAGCTCATAAAATTTTCTAACCAAAAAGCAAATTTCGTAAGTTCAACGAACGCATCGGCTGCTTGGATCAGGTCTGGCGGTGAGTCAGATACATCGCGTGAAAACTGTTAAGTGCAAAAGGAGGCCCTAAGGAAGAATAGAGGAGTCTGATGGTGTCGCGCTTTCACGGGTTTCCGCGAAAGGAATTCAAAACGGGAAGACAAGACGACGCACAGGCCCGAGTGGGCGAGTTGCTTTGAAAAGAGGGTGAAGAATGCTTCTCATCACCAGACTCACCCTCGAGTCGTTTTTCTTGCGCTTTTCATATGTTAATCCTGCCTGGGTCGGTTCGTTCTTGTATTTCGGTAGTTACCCTTTGTCGCGTTGAGTTATGCTGTTTATCCAACGGTACATTTGTTCACGTCCTGAAAAATACTAAGTAAATGCGTTATTATTCCCAGTCCTGTTATCTACCGGGTTTGAGAACCGTCCCCTGGACCATCTAACGGCACCACTAACCCTAACGCTCGTTCCGCTCTATTTGCCATTCAATTTATAAATAGTCAAAATATTAAGTCCCGAAAATTGACGCACGTTCTCGCTGTAAAAAAAAATAAAAATTCTTTCACTGCACTTTAGTGATAAATAAATTGAATTTTTTCCCATTTTTTTTCTTCTTTTTATTACTGCAATCTTTTTTCTTGTATTTTTCATACTCTGTACAGTGAACTATACTGTTCACATACGCGACCAGTAGGTTTCGACAATTACGAATATTTGCTAGTGTGCGAGAAGCTTCAGCTATCTTACATGAGAATTGTATTAATGTGCATGATCCTCGAGGGTACGTTTCCTGCATTGGTCCAAAGTACTGAGAGAATTTACCCTCGAGCCAATCGGACAATACGAACGTCGAAGGGATAATGGATAAAACGGGAAGAGATAAAAAACAAGGATAGAGATAGCACGTTAATGACTTTTCCCATGCAGATGCGGCATACGACATTAATTGATAATGCACTGGCCTCAAGCGCTTACGCATTTTGTTAGATATGGGAAATAAAATCGTTTATCAACATATAATTGAGATTGATGTAAAATTATTGATGCACATTTTGTATTGCTGGGATATTCATTAGCCGTGTACCTCGTTATATTTCAAAATGCGTAAAAGCGTCGGCAGATCCACGCAAATAACACCTTTCAACCAACAACGAGGCTAGAGCTGCGAATTGCTGCATTTAACTACACGCATACCTATCGGTTTCCAGAAAACATTTAAAAACATTTTTTTAAAGGTCGCTTCGTGTTATATAAAAATGTATTAAACACCATATTGCACACAAAACTCCATTTTCCATTGTATGTACGCATAAGTAAAGTATGCCGTACAAGATGGAGATGTATTTAGAAACTATTCCTATGCACCTAGGTCAACAATACATAAAATCTACCGAAATTGAAATAAAAATAATTGATCACAAAACTTGAATACGTGCATAGACCGTTGTTACTTAAATATTAAGAAACCTATAGGTATATGATGTGGAGGAATAGTAAAAATATTGGAAGTTTGTTTTTGAATAATTCTGAATCGTGAACTTAGGCAAAGAATGCACGTATATGTGGTTCGGAATAATCATAATTAATTCATAGCAGGCTATGTCACTGCTATACTTTGTATAAACAAAGAATAACTGGATGATGCAATTGGAAGTTTTTATAATTCAACGCAGTTCATGAAAAGCACTTTACATTTCTCCGCAGTGTCGAAAAAGAACAAAATATTCTCAATAATCAATGCGAAATGTATAAAATATACATATGTGTATACCTGAGAAGATCAAAAGAGTTTTTCTTCCATTGGGGATTTCCAATATCATCATAAACTCACCCGTGTATACGGAGCGACTATGAGTAAAAATTAGTAAGAAAACATCCCCTATGATATCTGCATAATTGCGAGTAATGGTTGAAGTAAAGTAAAACATGTCGTCCTGACAACAGATGTTACCGTACGGCATGTTTCCCAGGGCATTCGGTTTCGCATAGAGGACCGTTGGGCGGAGTACTTCTGGATTTAAATACAATATCCTGGGGCCATTGCAAAAATGAAGCGACCACCCCCTATCCTCACCCAGCCAATATCATCCCCGACCTGGTCGACGAGTACTTCCGTTCGCCAAACACCAACTATACGCTCACCCTATCCACGCGCGTTATTCCATATTCTACCAATATGCTTCACCGCGCATATAACATATACGAGGGCAGAGCGCATTACGTATATTTCAAGCGTTATTTCGTGTCACAAGACTTTAAATATGTGCAGAGATGCAAAGGAGAAGATACAGGACAGATTAATTATCATAGAAGTCTAATATTAATATATAGAGCGAATCATGTTTAAACGTGCACAGTCGACTAATAGCGAGAAACGTCTTTATACCAGCTGAACACATGGATGAGCTATGCAATACCAGTGATCCCAAAGTAAGGCTCATCTCGCTCTATTTCCAACAGGAGCCGAGAAAAACGCGAAAAGTGGTTTAAACCATACTTTTGACTTATTGCTTAGCGTGTCCTACTCATTTTGGCGCGCTGATCACGAATCTGATGCTCGTTTTGCGATAGTGAAATTTAATTAAGTTAGGGTGAGTCTTTACAGGACAGACATCCGACGAAAATGAATAAATTCATTCGATGACTTTCGCAGGCAGCTCCCCGAATGAGGGTCTTGACAAATGATTAAACTTTGACGTCCTGCGACAACTCAAAGGATTCCGAATGGCGGGTTACGAATTGAGATGAAACATTAGTTCCTTCGTGGATGCAGAAGGGATTGTCAGAAAGACAGTGGTAGTACAGACAATTGGTAATGTGAAGGGTTTAAAGTTTTCACAGTTATGTGCGAATTCGATTGCGTATGAGGTGAATTAGCATCGGTGAGGAACGCGTCCAATTAATGCACCATCCACAAACGCGGCTTCATGTAGCATATGCAACAGTTAATATTCATATCGTCACTGACCCGTTATAATTCGGTACGAATGATTACATTTGAATTAATCGTATGCAATATGAACTCTTAAATGTTACATTAATCGGGAATCTGCCTCGTTGTAGTACAGGTACGAATTATTTTTTACTGGAGCTCTAAATAAAATAATGTATTGATAAATTAATGGATAAACGGATACACAGCAGACTATATAAAATAGTAGGACCTGTATATGTCGAATAAGATAATTTGATAAAGTACAAACAATTTTACTTTTATTGCAAAGAACATTTTATGCAGATTATTCTGCGGATATCTTATATTCATTCAGCACGCGCACTTACGTATGTACTCACTATAATAGTTCGTTAATCATATCCCGTGAATCACTTTCTTTTAGATTTCATTTGAACACGCCTGTTCTTACCAGGTCTCTGCTTTACTTTTCCTTTGCCCAATCTTCCTGATTTGCTCGATTTACCTGGATTTCCGGGCCTCTTGTACTCCGACACATCAGCTGAACTGGATCGTGTATTCTGTTTACTACCACGTTTTTTGCCTCCAAAACCATATTTGGAATTTTTCATCTTTAGTTTGGATTGAGCTTTCTTGTCTACCCGTCGCAAAGCTGCTTTATTTGATACAGGTTTCTTCTTGTCATCCAAAAAATCAAGATCACGTCTAATGCCTTTTTGATATTTCTTTACTTCCTCAAGCATTTTTCTCTTTTCTGCATGCTTTTTCAGATTTGCTTCAATCTGCATTTGTTTACCCACTTTCCGCTGTTGTCTTAGTTGCCTTACTCTTTCAGAACGTTGGGCTATAACTTGTTTTTTCATAAGCTTTTCCCTGACCTTTTGCATATGCTCGTCTGATTTAGCCATTTGCGCAAAATAATCATCTGGTCTGGTAGTTGGCAACCCCAGTTTTTTCAACCTAGCAATTCCTTCCATAACTGCACCTTGTGCCTGTCGATGAAACATTGTTTCACGACGGAAGTCATTGAGGACAGGATCCTCCTCAGGAGCATACTGAGGTAATTTTTTATTCCCTTTTAATTGCTTTGCGCGTTTAACTTCCTGTTCTTGCATCTGCAGTGCTAACTCTGGTGCCAGAGGTGCAGGAACATTGATCATGTCAAGCCTTTCTACCCATGGTAAAGCAAGTTTTATTTCATTTAACTTTTGCTTCATCGCACTCTGTAAATGAAGAAATAAACTGTATATCTAAAAGTTTAATGTACTGTGCACTGTAAATTTATTTAATACTTCAATAAAATTAGAAGCTCATCATAACAAATATATACACATACATATAATACAATTATCAATGAAATTAGAGATAAATTAACATTCTCCGCTACTTACAACATTATTTTTAAACTGTCTTTTCTTTGGTTCAACTGCATTTAAACCAGGCTTTAATTTTCCTTCAGCAAATGCCTCTTGTAACTGAAAAACACGTGAACGATTAAGGTTAAGTATTTAGTGTAAATGTTCTCTTTACTTTTAGGACATGCTACAACTTTACTTCTTCATCGGAAGAATTGTAATCAGATTCGCCTTCGCTCGACGACATTGTTAAATTACACAATCACTCTCTTTTAAAAATTAAAATAATAAGCTGAAATTCGTTACTAAATCGACAATCGTACTCGATAGTGAACAATAGCGGACGCGCGTCTGTCGCAGTCTATTGTGTAGAACCTTGCGAAATATAACACGCGCAAGTGGCGCCATACAATAGCACACATAATTTATGTAAAATTCAAAAACAAATTACTTCAGGTACTTTTTTCTTATAGAATTAAATAAGTTTGATATTCGCGTTTAAAAATTGGATCTATTAAGATATAATAATATCTGTTTTTAAAACATATCAGTAAAAAATTCAAAAATTTTCATATAAAAACGCACGAAAATGTAGCATTTATTGACATAGGAAAAGGAGTACTACACCAACGTTAAGGCTGAAGAAAATTCTAAACTATTTTATTACAAACTTCTAATTATCTTTCATAACATTATATCTTAATGGGAACTTCCCATAAAAATATGATAAATAAATCTTTTAAATTTTATTAGGAGCACCGAAACAGCTGATAGGCTTTAACATTCAAAGCCTCCCTGATAAGCAACACAAAATATTTCATTGTCATTTCACGCAATCAATTTCCTCGCAAGGAGTTTATTTTTGAGAATAAAAAATACTTTAATGGTGCAGAAAGTGTTTACCAAGGTGTATAAAAGAAAGGTATTCTACTAATGCAGGATATTTCAGAAAATCATGTTCTCTTAGCAATGCCGTGAATGCGCAGATCTCTTCGTGAGTTTACCTACCATATAAAAACCGTGGCTTAGTCCAGAAATTTTTGTGTAGTTGGCTGACGGCAACGAAACAACATGGCGTCCACGGATGCAGAACCGATGTCACGTTTATTGAAGCTTGCCAAAGAGTTTAACTGCTTTTATCTGTCAGGTAAGGAGAATAGCGGCATTAGGCCAGGAATATACTTTTGCAATGTCTTTCTTGCATTGTGCATAAGTTTTTTCTTCGAAATAATGCTCTTTCCGTACTGTCTGCTAAGATATTGATTTCGAGTGTTGTGTTTCTCTCAGTCGTCTTTCTCCAATATACTTAGTAGAAAAATTATCAGTAACATAAGGTTTTTTAAACATTTTTTTAATGTCCCTTGCTGTTGATGTTTCTGTTTTGGCAGCCAACAATTATTTCTTAGCTTTCTCTATAATTGTTTCGCTTTGTTTCGCCTGCCTGTCACTATGCATAATAATTATCGCTAGCGCCTTTTAACGCGTTGCTATAAATTTATAGCAATATTATGAACACCAATTGCATCTTTTGTACTGACGTTATGAATACTGTTCTTGTCACTTGTACTGGCATGCAGCACTTCTTTCTTTTAAGAATGTATCTTTAGCTTGATTACTTTTTATTGAACACAATACAGTACAATGTTTATGTAGTGTTATTGATAATCGTTAAGCCGTATAAGGGCGATATCATTTTTGTCGATGAAGCGCTGGTCGATTTCGTTGATAATTTTATTAGGCTGAATAAAATCTATTGCACAATTTTCATAGATTTACTTGTATGTGTTTTAGAAAATTTAAATAGATCAATATGCTCATCAGGTCTTTTCTATATTTTGTATTTTCTATTTTTTGCTAAACACACCTAAAAAGTTCTAAAAGTTTCTTATGATTATTTCTTACCGGTCAATGAATTTATATACTTTCACGTGCCATGTCTCCCTAAAGACCACATGCTAAATCGATGAAAGCTTACGGATACATAACTTCTAAACTAAAAAGACAATAGATTTAAAATTTTGCAGATGTGTTCACAGTAAAGGCACATATAATGTGCAAAAATATTAACTCTTTGTCATGGGTATGACATATAGGTTGAACATCCTTAAATAATATTTTCATTTATGAAACAAACTTACAATGTTCATAGATTATTGGATTTTTAGTTCAATTTTGGAAATGTTAATTATATTGAATTCCTTATGTATTGCATTTCTTGATTTATAGGTGTATAGGAGATTATCTTGAACAACTAGTCATATCATAATTTGTAATTATGTTATAAATTGTATTATTATAGTAGTCTTTAATGGTATTAAAAATAAAGTTATTTTCTTTATGAATGCATATATCAGAGATCATGGGCTATTAACAAATATTAAACATGTAATATTAATCAAGGATGGCCAATGATGTAAAAATAGTATTTAACGTATGCCACATCCACATGGCACTAAATGCCTTGAGCAATTGACCCTGGTCCAAAAATAAGACTTGTCGTACTTGTACATTTTAGCTTCAAATGCTACATTCCTGGAAATTGCAATATACTGTATGTTATAAAATTCACCAATTTATATTTGAATTTCATTAATAAAATGTCTTTCACATTAGAATTTCATATGTCACAATTGTATTCATCCTCCTTTTATCAATATTTAATTCTTGGGAAACTGATTAGATAAGTCTTGTCATGTATACGAAGACATAGTTTCACTATATTACATATATACTTTCATGATTGTCTTCAATCATTACTACATAACATTAATTATATCATATTACATTTCCACAGCTTAATGAACAGGATCTCTGATGTTTGAATATTGTAACAAATCTTTTGTTATCTGTCATTGAACTCTCCTTTGAAACAACATTCCTAATCTCCCAACTATGAGTAATTGTCACACTGCACTTTTGTAACAACTGCAGTATCACAGTCTACTTCTTTCTTTACAGAAAACACTACAAATAATACTATAGTTAGAGTAAAGAATATAATGCTAATTTTCGTGGCGTCTTGCGGGATTTTCAGGGTTCCATGCAGGTGAATGCAGAGCTTTTGTCGTCGATGGACAACAAGTCGGTCTTGTTCGACCAGACGTGATGAAAGAAATCTTGAACTATCCAGAGGTAAGTTTTTTAACCGATTTTCTGTAATACAACTAGTGACGTACAAAATAGTCCCAAATTTCTGAAATTAATATACAGGAAGTATCATCATATACTCATATATTATAGGTTTTTCAAGTACAACCAAAATACGTGCAACTGAACCCAGCATTTAGAGATTATGCAGAAAGAAGTGCGCGCGTAGATGAAGTCCTTAGAGAATGGCGAGCAAGTGGGAAATTCATCACGTTACGAGGCTGGCGGGAAGAATGTCATGATGTCCGCACACGATTCAATACGGCGCCTCTACTCAAAATGGATCGTTCTGCAACTTGTAAGTGATAATCTGATGAAATGATCGATCTAGAAGTTGCTTCTTTTAAGTATTTCTTTACCATTCATTATAACCAGGTTTATTTGGAATCCGGAAATACGGAGTGGACATTAATGGATACGTAATGGATCCCATAAAGGGATTGTCAATCTGGCTACAAAAACGCAGTCCCAATAAACAAACATGGCCTGGTTACTGGGATAATATGGTGAGTGGTGGATTGAGTGTAGGCTTTGGGATTCATGAAACGGCAGTTAAAGAAGCTGGAGAAGAAGCAAGTATCCCAGGCAATCTCATTGGGAAGCTCAAGAGTGTAGGATGCGTATCTCTCTTTTTTGAAAGCGAAAGAGGACTCTTCCCGAATACTGAATTCGTCTACGATCTTGAACTACCACCGGAGTTTGTACCAAGTAACAGTGATGGAGAGGTAGAAACTTTTGAATTGCTTCCAGTAAGTGAATGTTTAGAGAGGGTACTATCTTCCCACTTTAAGACGACTTCCATTCCCGTTGTTCTGGATTTTTTGATTAGACACGGATACATTACTCCAGAAAATGGTAAGCTCTTGTACATATTTAAAAAATTATTTTACATTTACACATAATATTTTCTATAACTTTTAATCGCTTAATGAGTGAAACACAGCACGACACAGTTGAAAAATTTTAACTGAGAAATATTATCTACATTCACCAACGCGTATGTTTCAGAGCCTAATTTTATCCAAATCGTGGAACTTCTGCATGTACCACTGCAAACGATGTACAACCAGCCACAAAGAAAAAATAAAATAGCTGCCAACGGTGAAGCGAACACGGGTCTATAGAGTCTTTAGGTTACAAATAGGCACTAATTTCAATCATGCTAAGGCTACAAATCCAATAAAATGAATAAGCAGTTGTTCTTTTCATTTCCTTATATTTTCAGGGTCCAAATGTTTGGATTGTAATGTTTCTTTTTTGATCATATATCGCAAGAAATACTACATTTATTAATCTAGTATTACTCAAACATTTTTTTATACTAATAGAACAATTATAGATTGTTAACTGCGTATCCAGGATCCTGAAAATTGAAAATCCAAATAAGCTTTGAATAACGTTAAATAGAATTTTTATTTATTTTTAATGACTTTACGCCTTAACATAATTATCCAGCTGTTCAGTTAGCTGGAACAGACCTCCGTGTGATATTTGTGAGAAAGTAAACAGTTGAATGCAGCTCTGAGGGTATTTTGCCGTAACAAGATTATAGCTGTGTTTCAACTGAAATAAGAAAATCATGTATCTATTGACAAACTTATTTTTCTTGAAGTTTTTTTCCATTAAAAAATATTTATTTGTATATAAAAAGATTAAAAACGTCCAAATTGAATTTTCTTGATTTTAAGTTTATAATTAAAGCAAGTTGTATTGAAATTTGTGTCATTACTAGATATACTGCAGTCGGAACACAGCAGGTCTTAATTTACATTATGACAACTTGCAATTTATGTACTTTCAATTATTGTGAGAAACGATAACCAGTCAAACAAGTTTTTAAGAAAGAATGCATTGCAACGTAATGTGAATCAAGACGCAATCTTGAATATCAAAGTATTAACACTGCATTCCGAAAAAAAATAGATTTAATGTGAACAAGTTGCTTTTTAGAAAATAGAGAAGCCGATAAACCCTTTCTGGTAATTGACGTTAAAATTTGGTGTCGGTATTTAATCAGGTTTGAGTCATCATTACCGGCATTAATTGCACAAATTCAAGTTATACTTCAAAAGTCCATTCGTAGTTTTATATGGTTATAATGGACTCAATGCAACTCTTTTGATACAGTAGAAAATTAAAGATTCGATCCCTTATGGAATTCTCTGTTGTACACTAAAATGGAATGTAGCATTTTTATTGGCCAGACAGTTTTTTGGGAAAGGGAACAAAAATCTTTATGTTATTTATCGTAGACTATATTAGATAGGTTTTTTTAATTGAACGATCATTGGAATCAGAGATTTAATCGATGTTGCATAATATCTCTGAAATGATTGTATGTACCTGAGAGCACACAAGTATTGATGCGATGTAATTGCGTTTTTCTTTTACCAAAAAGAACGTTCAAGTTATAATCGTTTATTAATCCTGTATAATTTACGCACGATGCATTCTTCTAAAGATGTTAAAATGTAAATATATGATTTTTTGCATACAGTTTACCCATGATCTTCCTCTTGAGATACAATTGGTTTTTTCGTCGTTTCAATACTTTTGTGCAGCAGGTTTAACGTTTACTTAACCGTACGTATTAATTAACGGTACAGAGGTATTTATTGTTGAATAGATATGTTGATGAAAATGCGGCAATCTTAGTGATGATCATGAAGTACTATAATTCTGTGAAATACACACAACAATGTATTCGAATGCCCTAGATACGCCTAATGAAATTTCAATGACATTTACAAAATTTGCGATATCTGAAATTATTATGAATTAATTGATAATTAGGAGGATGCATATTGAAAATGGAAGTATCTCGTGCTCATCTACGGATTCGCCATTTGAGTGTGGAGGAGAATCCAGTAATCTTTTAATAGACTTCGGATAGTTTTTAAGTATGACATCTTAGCCAATATCATAGAATAGATTGCATAACTTTAGTACTTTTTTAATGAAACGAAATACTTGATGTGCTAGTCACCTTGTGAACATTATGTTGTCTATACACTCGAGTTTCGATCAGCGAAAGCAATTAAAATTCATTTTGCAAGTATCTTTTGTTGGGAGGAACTTAATGTGATCATTGCTACAGTCACGGAAATCGTTGATTTGAAGGTGTCATTTCTTTACATTTGTACAATACTTGTTAATTAAGCATTTTTGTATTTTAACAATGTGTTAGTATAACTGTATTCAATGTTTGAAAATTTGTGAGCATGTTGAATTTATGCCCTGAATTTGCTACTTGTATTTGCGCACAAATACTTTCATTTACATCTTCTACATCATGGAAATTTATGCTGTGGCTTTTGCAGTTTTCAATAATTAATCGTATTATTTGTTGTAGTGTCATCACAAAAGGTATTCAGAGTAGCATTGAAGTCTAACAACTCTTATGGTATTAACGCTTCATCATACTATGTACTCGAAAATAGTTATGTTATTTGTGAATGAAAGAAATTTGTTTGAAATGCAAAAATTCTTTCACAAATCCAATGTAAAAATTCTAAAAATCTGTATTCTTATTTCAATGGTATTAATTATATGACTTTAAATGGATTTTTAAATCAGTTGAGTTTTGAAATTGAAACAATCACTTTTTTATCAAAGATTCATTTACTTATTTAAGGAATTTTAATAAAAGAGAATAAATTGCGCAGATCCAATTTTAGTATTGTAATGAGTTTGACAATATATATAATATAAAAATTCATTTACTCTTTATCAATATTTATTGACACATGTTCTGGCACTTATCTAATTCAGAAATAGTATTCCAGCAACATCGACTAAGGAATCGCTTTTTTTTAAACAAATTTCCTTTGATACTTCATCGATTAAATTAATGGTTTTGAATCTCATTAACTACTTTAAGCGATATAATTATTTTCAATATCAGTTTCAAGTAAACTGCGCACAAAAATTTAATTCACGATTGTATCAACTCTGTAACTTAATTCGCCGTTTTAATTGCAGAAAATGCTCAAATTTATCGAAGTATTATGTATTATACAACATTGTCTTTTTTTTTCATATACCCATTAGTCTGTAATATAAACGGCAGTTCTCAACTGAAATCACGAATGTCTTTGGGAATTTGGGAATGAATTGTAGATACAAGCTATAGAATTGTAATTAATCTTGGTTGATTTCAATTTAGTAAATTTATTTTGATTTGAAAATGCGTACAACGAAATAAACTGCTACTTTATGTGACAATGGAGTTAATATCTGAAATGCCACTTATGTGGAAAAAGGTAAATAACTAATGTTTAAAGAAACACAAACAATATACAGGGTGGTTCACGCAACATGCATACCTGTATAACTTCACATTACTTCATTAGTTAGTAGATTCCATTATTACTGTGTTAATATGAACGGATATCAATTTGAACAAATTCTGTAGAAATCTGTTATAAGGTTGAATCCCTAATTTGATATTATGAGATGAAATTTTTCAAGAAACAAAATGCAATCACTCGTTAGTTATTAGGTTCACGGCTAATACAGGTCAGTACTTTTTTACCCAAAATTTCACGTTTATTCACAATTTGGTATAAAAATTTAATTTAATTAAAAAAAACTGTTGTCTGAGATTTATAAAAAGATGTAGAAATTTATTCCACTTTCATTCATTCTCTAGCTACAGCTGCGTAAGGATCTTCGCTTCTCTTAAGCTCGTTGCTAATAAGATAAAAAAGGAAGAACAAGATCAAGAAATATTCGTATATCATCGAAGGTCCTTTCAGAATTAACAATCCCCCAAAAAACACTTACGTGTAAAAAACAATGCCAAGTACAGGATTGCTGTGAATTCCTCTAACAAAAAGTATTGATATCATATTATTGAGGCCATCATTTTAATTATATTTTCAATATTTCCTATAACGTTTTCGCTACTCTTCTATGTTACTACTGCTTCCCGTGTTTAATTACGATTTAATGGTGATTTAATAATTAATAAAACTTTAGGTGATTCCTTATCGAGTACTACTCGGCGGGTCCGTGCATTTCTTGATATAAATTTGGTACAAAACCAGTACCAATTTTCTATAGAAAGCATATTAACAATAACTCGTCAAAAATAATCACGGTAAAAGCTTAATAACAAACATACAGCATTAGAATACTATGAG